GTTAATACTGGTGCGGCGCCGCAAGGCGCAGAACCGGCGCATCAGTCGCCAGCACACACAAGCAATTGTCGGGGTACCGGTACGCGTTCGCGGCCACGCGCTGCAACGCAGTGACTGCCGAGCTGGCACCGTACGATTGGAGGGATGCAACGATGCACGCACCAAGTGTCGAATGCATAACGTTGAACAAGCAATCAGGTTGAAGCATCCGCTTGCCGCGGTGCGTGGGGATGTGGCCCACTGGTCGGCCGGTGAGACAGACAAGTGCCGCATCGTAACCATACACAAGGTGAGCGTGGGTAGCAAGGAGGAGTTCAAAGAGGGCAAGCGCGGACAGCTTGGCCGAGCGGTTAAGGCGATAGACTCGAAATCTATTGGGGAAACCCTCGTGAGTTCAAATCTCACAGCTGTCGAATCCTTTTGTCAAGCTCACCATTCCTGGGGCTTCCACCCCAAGGGGCTGCCCAATTCGAATCTATCGCTCCACGCGAATGCTTTGTTTGCTGGGATTGAATTGTATTTTGTCAGCGCTTGCACGTTGGAGGATGCTTCGCTTTGCTTACGACGCAAGTTGTGAAGGGTACAGGTAAACGAAAGCGAAATGGCGAAGCCAGGATGTTCTGCTTCGTTTAACAAAATGTACATGGCACTGATGTGAGTCGTCCCTTCAGACTTAAGGCGTAATATTGACCGAGTGCCGCTGCGATTTCATACGCCAAAGCAATCGATGGGCTCATGCTGAATCCACACGTTATTCGTTCCAGGGACGAAGGAATCGCGTGACCCCCAATCTGTTGAGCGTCTCGACTTCAAGGGCTTGACGGTCTCCTATGATTCTACTCTCTCAGCACCAACAGCATTGTAGACTACAATGTTCGACCCCAGCACAAGCATTCGGCCACACGAAGCGTTTTCGTGAGTGCTGCTTCCTCTGATTGTGTTGAATTGTAGCGCATATCGAGTGAATTCATCACATGAACAAGTTGAGAGAGCGGACCACTTCAAAATGTCAATCAGGTCACCGAACTACGCAGCGCGGCGTCGGCAGCGCGGCGTCGCCTAGAGCCTTACCTCACTCTAAACCATGCGCACGCGACTCTGCATCTAAATACCTGTTCACTAGTGCTCAAGAGTATCTGTCTGCAATTTCGCGCTGTGGTGTCCACTGGACAAAACAATCTTCTGGGGCTTTTCGATCAGCGAGATCTTATGTGCCACAACATTGACCTTCTTCCTCCTTTACGTTTTGACACGTCGGAGAGAAGTCATATGACTGACTGTGAACATTGACACATGTGTCAGTGCGAAATCTTGTTAACTCTCCAGCAGTGGGCTCATCGTGCGGTGCTCCGCTTCAGTAGTTTGTGTACGATGTGGGACAAAACCATGGCCGTGGGACGGTCCTCTGGATTGAACGATATGCACTGTTCCGCCATGTCTCGGATCCACTCGGGCATATCATCCGAAAACGTCGGCTTGATCGTGCCTGTAATCACCATGCCCATGATGGCCGTGTCCACGAGGGGCTTGCCGTTCTTTGGGTTGGTCACGTCTGCGTACGGGATCTTGTGCGAGTCGAGCTCGGACAACACCATCCCAAACGAAAAGATGTCGGCCGCCACCGAGTAATGGTTGAACTGGAGAATCTCCGGCGCCATCCACCGGTACGTGCCAACACCAACCGTCATGGTTTCTTGTGTGTCTTCCTTGGACACGCCAAAGTCGGTCAACTTGGCCGGCTTGACCGTGTCCATGAGGACGTTGCGGCTCTTCAAGTCGCGGTGGATCACCGGAAACGAGTGGAGGTACGCGAGGCCGTCGACAACTGCAGCGATGACCTTGAGCTTTTCGTTCCACGGAAACTCGACTGAGTCGCGCGTGATGAGGTTATCGCGGAGGTCGCCCGCGTTCATGTACTCGAGGACGCACTCCAAGTCGGACGGTTGGTCCCAGCAGCACCCGATCAGCTTGATTATATACGGCGACGTAAAGCTACATGGACGAGCATGCAGCGGAGTCGACGGGCACGAACGGATGGCGTACCTGGCGAGAAGTTTGATTTCATCGATGAGTCCCTGGACTTCGTTCACTCCGACGCGAGAGCTGAGGAGCTTCTTGACGGCTACGGGAATTCCTTTGTACGTTCCGTACAACACGTCGGCAAACGCCCCCGATGCAAGTTTGCTTTGCGGGATCACGTCCTGCTGGTCCAGCCGATACAGCGTGAGCTCGGACATATCGATGCCCACGTTCTGGGTGTTGGCCGTTGTGGCGGTCGACTCCTTGGTCGCTGTGCCTTGTCTTCGATATCCATCCTGCGACCGTGCGCTCCGTGCGTTGCGGCGATTGCACAACACAAATGCAACAACTCCCGCTACTACCAGTCCAACGGTGACGCCGACGATGACATATGTGCCTAGAAGGGGAAGTTCGGGGCTGTCAGACTCGTGTCTCATGGCCGAAGTGTTACTTTGAACGTACGCGAAGCCGACGTCGACGCTGAAGCATGTGGGCCGACCACACATACCGTGAAACGTTGTTTGGTCATGGAAGAGTGTTTAGCCCAGAGTTCCTTGACGACGCCGCTTGCAGTCGCACACAAGGCGGGGTCTTGATTGATGAGGCTGTTTTTGACGACAAATCCATTGTCCGCACTCGCACCGCCGCTGAGTCCTTGGTAAGGGCTGAGCGCGTCGAGTGCGTCGAATGAGCTGCCATCTAGGATGACATTCGTCATGGCCGCGCCCGAAAGGACGCTACAAAGGACGGTTGCGATGAGCCCACGCGAATACATCCAACCATCTCCACGTACAGCGCTTGCAGGACTCCCTTTTGAAACGTGACGTTCACCATCGTCCTGAGTGGGTTTTTCGGCAAATACCTGGCCACGTACCACCACCAGCACAGGTAAATCGTTGCGCTGTGGAAGAAAGTGGGGCGCGTACACGTGGGACAGGCGAGTCCAATTCAAGTAGGCCAGTTCGGTCACGCTATTGTTTTCAAGCTCCCTGCGCCACCACGACCATGAACAGCGAAGCGGTTTGATTCGTGGCGAGCCTTACAGAATGCGGACGGTCGGGGGAATTCGTTCGAGAGAAGACACGTTCAAAGGCTGATGGGAAAACTTGCTACAACAACGGTGGTAAGAGTTTGACAGACGCTGACTACGTACAAATCGACGAGGGGGCATTCTGGGGGAATGCTAGGGATGTTGACGGTCGCCGTGTCGTAAAACGCCCTGCAACGAGAGAGATGTGGATCCCTATGAGTTGCAACAAGATTGGGCACGCCACGAACGCACAGGTGTGTCATTTGGCTGGGAAATCGAACGGACGCGACTGGAATCGGCACCGACTCGAACACACTACAACATATCGTTGATGGGACGGCATGGGACAAGAGAGGCGTCGTGGGAACGGAGCGTACAAGTCCTTGAGCGTTGTCCCGAACTCTATTGCGTCCAAGTTCATGCGCGAAAAGTTGACGACGGCACTACCAAGACGCAACGATCAAACGACGGGCGTGACGGAATATATAGACGTACAAACCAGTCGTGTTCAAGTACGACAGGTCTCCGATCGCGTCGACTGCCGACATGCCGATTTTGTCCCCGTCGATGTTGGTGTGGTCAATGCCGTCGCTTGCGTCAACAAACGATACCTTGGTCCGCTTGATAGTACACTTGTTGTCGACGATGCACGAATCGCCGGGGTGGCCATGGCACAGCGGACCCGACACAAAGATTCGACTGGCGTTCAGGAGGGAATATGGGCAGGTCACGTTTTGTGCGGCCACCACGGCCACCGCGCCCAGCGCAGTCTGCCGCCACCTCGTGTGCATGCGTTTGGGTTTGAAAAATGCACCGCCAGGACCATGGCTCACGTTATCGGATGCTGTCTCGTCCACGTCGTGAAACGTGCTACGATGGACACGCTGCGACGGAGCCATATGCCACACCATATCTGATTGCGATTGGCATCCAGGCGTCATCGGCAGGGAGGAATTGTAGCTCTGTTGGTTGTTCCTGACGTCGTGGTTCAGCCCTGACGGAGTGTACCAGCCATGACATCTCCACTCCCCCCTGCAGATTCCAGATAGCAAGGGCAGCGAACGAAACTCGGACTAGACGTCGTCGAAGACAAGCCGAAGCACAAAGTATTGGAACAACTCAACATCACCCATTGCCATCCAGCTGTAGTTTACAACTCACTTGGACCATGCTGCGAAAGCGTTTCAAACCTCTGTGTATTCCAGATCCATGTCACCAGGCGCCACCTGACAACGACCCAGTTGTCTGTGCTGTTTGCAAACCTTTGGCTGAACATAATACCCTCCTATCAGCGCGGGCATCCTCGAAAAAGTCTTTTGTTAGCATTGCCAAACATGCCGCGTTTGGGAGGCTTCTTGCCGCCTTTCACGGCGAGAGAAAATGCAAGTTCGGTCGACGACACGAGAGGTTTGAATGCGCTCGCTCTCATCCTGCCGTGCTTTCGGAGAGATTCGAGCAGCCAAGGAATTGCACTCTGTATGCGCCGTGGCAACGTACATGCCCAGCACAAGCGTCGGGCAACGACAACATTGGCCGAGTTTTACAGTTCAACCGAGGCGGCGTTGGAGATGTCCACCATCAGCGGCGCAAGTGTGGGTGTCAGCCCATTACCAACGTCGTCGACAGGTTGTCTACCCAAGTGGACCCTGAGCTAGGAGTACTTGCTCGTCAGTGGTTTGAGGTTAGATTAGGGTGGCTTTAGTCGTCGCTGTCTAAGGGGAGGCATGTGGTTCAAGTCGTGGCAGTCTTGGGGGAGACCGTGGTAATCTTGGGGGCGACGGTAGCAGTCGCAGAGGCAGCAGTAAAGATCGTTGAAGCATTCGCGGTGGTCGTTAGGGCAGATGTAGTTGTCGTATGGATAGGGAGGGGTATTGTTCACAGTGCAGTTTGGAATACCTGTGACAGTCGTGCGGGCAACTGAAGCGGTTGTTGGGGCAATGGCCGCGGCAGCGGGGGTTGGCGAAGGGGATTGTCCACCAGTCCGTAGATCATCGTCGGCCAAGGGTTTCTTGAATTCCAAGAGAGCAATAATTCCAGTTGCGTCGCGTAAACCAATGACGGTGTTGTCGACAGCAAGGGCGAACCAGACGACTCCTGTTGTTTGTGCCAAAGCACGACTTGGTAAAAATAATTGTGAGCTTGGGCAACCTGTCGTTGTCTGTGTTGGGGACAGGACGCAGTCTCCCCCCGGCCGCCGATGCCGTGAAAATACGCGTGGCCGAGTCAGCCGCAAGACGCCAGAATACTGTGAACGAGCAACTCTAGATCGCCCGGAACGTCGCAAGCATACACTCGGCACTGAATTAGACGATCGCCAACCCTCAGACCCAAGAGCCATCCATTGCGTCCATGTGGAGACGAGCGGCATCGCTCCCCTTGCATTGGTCGTAGAGCACATGGTGGTGCAGCCGACTGTGGATAGCCAAGAGTAGATGTTCGTTCGTGTGCATCGCGCGGCCCAGCTCCCTGCTGGCTTAATCCCCCATGGTCGCCTGTACCTGTTCTTTCTGCATGCGCTTTGTACTTGTGATGGTGGCTCGCTCGTCCAGCGTCGGGCTGGTGCTAGTGTGTGTACAAGCTAGTTTGGCCAGTGAGCATTCCATCGTGACGGGGACCGTCCAGTGCGCGCCGGTTGGAGCCTTCGCAAGTGCAAAGCGCAGTTCATGCCCGAGCACCTGACTCCATTTGTGGGCAACGACGAGGAAACCGTGGCATTTCGACCGCGCAACCACAGCACATGCGGTCGGCAAGACGGTGACTTCAAATTATACCTTCCACTCAATCAGATAAACACCCCCGTGGGCGGCTTTTGCACAGGAGGGTGCGTGGATGCACGGCGGAATTGCCTCGGCACGGTGAATTCTGACGTCCTTCTGTTCACCGGCGTTTCTCGGACGCGGTCCGCCCCCGCTTTCATCGCAGACGCCATGGACTCGTCGTCATGTCGCGTGATCATAATGCCTTCCGCCATGGACGAATGGGGGTCGGCGCTGAAGGCATACCCGCTGTTGACTCGGGACACGGATCTCGACGATGCATTGCTCTAGAACCATTCACATGCGGCGCATTCAGCTATGTTTGGATGGTTCATTGGAACGTACGTGGCGCGAATAACTCGAGTTACGATGGGTGGGAAGCGTGCCGCCCAGCCACACAGTTTCCAAGTCACTGCCATGGTCAGGGACGCGGATGCCCGCCTCGAGCGACCTGGATTTTGTCGTCGGCTCGCCCGCAACGTATTGCTACACAACACGACAAAAAACTGGTGGTTAGCAACCGACACTTCCTCCAACGACAGGGTTCGAAAGGTGAAAGCGTACTTCTTGGACAATTTGCCACAGAAACGGGTAAAACGCGCGCTGAAACACCTTCCAAGAGAAGTTGCGAAGCAGGCACAAGACGATTGTGAGCGGCAGGACAAACCAAAACGTGGGTCCTAATGCGCCGCTCATTAGGAAGGCTCAGACGAAGTGGGGCACCGTTCAGAGTATTCTGCGTCGCTCCGAAGTTGGCTTGGGACAGAAACAGCCAGTTGGACTCGACGGTCAGCGTGACGGGAATGTAAGCTAAAACTCCAACGAACCACGCGACACCGCCCCAAAAAATCCACGTCTGTTGAATCGAAATGATCTAGACATGGCTCGGCATGATGACGACGGCAGTGTGGTGAATATCACGATGCCCCATCGTCGAACGAGTACCTTGAAGTTGGCCACGAGCACAACAAGCGTGAACAGGACAATGCCGTACTGCTGCAAGTCACCGCTTCCGGCGCCAACCTCGAGCTGGTTAAACCCCAACACCGCAACGGCAAAGATCACAACCGCTTCAAAAATTGCCGCCGCAATCCACGTGAAAAACACACTCGTTGTGAAAAGCTCGCCAGAAATCCCGACTTTATACAGGGCTGGAAACCGCTGCCCCACGGCCCACGGTACATCGTAGTCGAACACCCCCAAGACACCGATCGGTAACGACGTATAGATCAAGTTGTACAGCTGAAACCCAACTTCCGAGTACTCCTTTTGCCCCGATGACCCTATGGCCACGCGTCAAGTCATTTCACAACGCATCAGCTCGGAACGTACCAGTCATGTATAGGAAAAAGTACTGCGCCAGCACCATAATCATGTTTTTGTAAAACATGTACCCAACCAGCTTGGACATGCGCACGTAGTTCAACCGGCCGTGGTGGAGCAACAGCTTTTCCAAAAAGTAAAACTGCGCGATCGCATAGTCGCTCGAGTTGACGGCTTGCATGCCTTCTTGGCCGCAAATGCCGACGCCGACGTGTGCCCGTTGGATCATGGCCACGTCGTTCGCACCGTCCCCAATCGCCAGCGTTCTAGAGGTCAGGTTTGAGCATTCAAAACCCCAGAGAGGCGCGTCGCATCCCCACCGAGCTTTGCGGTTGTTGGTGCGAACCAGGCCCACGACTTCGGCCTTTTGTGATGGCGACACGCGGCAGCACACGACAGAGTCGCACGCCATCGCGACCTTCAAGAACATGGCACACGTGTCTGCGTCCGCCATCACCATTTCCAACGCGTCGCCGTCAATCACAAGCGACCGGCGCGTGATTTCCACATCTGCGGACAACATCTCGTCAACTCTCAGCCACGCCAGCAAGACACGTACGGCTCAGGTCGGCCACGCACAAGTCGAGGCTCGCACGCAGCGCAGTCAAGTCGGGGTACTCGTCCAAGTTGAAAATGTACTGCATCATGTCGTTGTCCATGAGCTGGCACGCGTACGCAATGTTGATGGCCGTCTCCTGCTTGTCCCCCGTGAGCACCCACACCTTCATCCCGGCCTCCATCAACCGAGCGATCGCGCGCGGCACGTTGTCCTGCAGCTTGTCTTCGATCGCGGTCGCCCCAAGCAGCACCAAGTCTTGCTCGAGCTCGACCATGCACGCGTCAATGTCGTTTGCCTGGCCGTTCTTGCGCTTCTCGATCTGGTCCAGCGACGCACACGCAGCCTTGTACCGCTTTGTCCACTGGTGGTAGTACGCCGTCGGAATCGTCTTCTTGGCAATCGTAAGCGTGCGCAGACCGTCGTCTGCAAACGACTGGAGCTGCTCAAATGTCGTCGCGACCACGTCCGAGTCGTTCAACGTCGACGACAGCAACGGCGTGATCACGTTGTCCGCGCCCTTGGTCAGCAGGATGTAGTTGCCACTCGGGTCCTGGACCACGCAACTCATGCGCTTCCGGTCCGAGTTGAACTCGAGCACGTCCAGCACCTTGAATTCCCACAGCTCGCTCGGCGCGTTCGGGTCATGCTGCAGCGCCTTGTTCGTGATGCGGATGCGCGCCACGCCCAGCCCGCGCGACTCGAAGGCGAACCCAAAGAACTTGGCCGCCGACACGAGCGCTTGTTCATCCGGGGACGATGCCGAGTACCGGAGGACAGACTCGCCGTTCTTGTCCGTCGCTTGCTCCGGGATCACCGTGTGGCAAATGGCCAAGTGGAGGAAAAAATCGGCTTCCTTTGTCAGGGCGTTCGTTCCGTTGAGTGGAATGTCGGCGAGTTTTTGGCGCAACGCGGGGTCGTGAAAGTTCACAAACGGCACGTTTCTGTGCTCGTGTTCACTTTGGACCTCTGGCACGGGCAGTCCCTTTCGCCGAAGTGCTGCGCGGCCTGTCCACATCGTTCAGGTGGACGTTGAAGTGGTCCCACTCGATCCACCATCCTACCGATTTCAGTCGTGCCGAGGCCGTAGCTGACGCCGTTGATCGAGCACTTGCGGAACTCCATCACGTTGCACGTAAGCGTGCCTGTCTTGTCGGAGAAAACGTAGGAAATCTGGCCGAGCTCTTCGTTCAGCGCCATGGTGCGCACAATCATGCGCGAGTCGAGTGGCTCGTAGTACATATCGAGGTCCAGCGCCATCAGCATCGCTTGGATGAGCATGACCGTTGAGATGGTCACGTACAGCGAGACAGGGATCATTTGGTACAGGAGGAGAAAATACTGACCGCACGCGACAAACCTATGCAGCGTCAGCCACGTAACATACCATGCCAAGGCAGGCATGCTTGTACCATCGGTACACGGGCGAGTGGCGAGGCAGCGTGAGGTAGCACGAGTTGGTTTTGGCGCAAATGTGCGATGAAAAAGTATAGTCCTGGGGGAAAGAGCCCGCCGTCACGATCGCGTGTCCTTCCAATCCCTACCGACTAGGACGTACCCAGGACACTTGAGCGGACGCGGCACAAGCACAGAGCACGAGCAACATCGCGAGCAGCCACTTGATCATGACGTTGACGTGGCCATTGATCGAGCTCCACTTGGTTTCCGGTGCGGCAAACGACTGCATGATCTTCGTATCGGGGCCCGTGTTGATGACGAGACCGTACATCCATTCCGTGTTGCGGAGTTGACACCCGCGCAGCAGGATGTTTTTGATCGATATCGGGTCGTTCGCGACCGACCCGTCCAGTAGATCAACAAAGAAGGACCCGTTGAAGCGGCTAATAACTTTGTTCGGGACTTCGCACTCGACGCGGCCGTGGAGGGCGTGGATGTCCGCTTCGGTCTGCGCATGGAGTGTGCTTTCCATGGCTTGCCTGCATGCAACAAAATCATGGAACGCCACTCGCTGTGATTGATTCCGTACCGAAGTTTCAGATTCGTTTCGCCGTCCAGCGACTTGGTTTCGACGTAGCATATGCCAGCTTTGTGCGCTGCGTTGACTTCGTGCACGGCCAGAATGAGCAAGTCTGCCGGCGCTGTGTCTCGATTCGCCAACTTGACGACCTGACCGACTTGGACTGCGGACCATGGAACCGTCACGAGTTGGCCGTTGTACACGACGCGGCACTTGGCTGAATTGGCCTCGTCGTCAGCCTGATGCCGCCGTCGGTCTTCAATGATGGCGAGTGTGCCATCCACTGCCAGAATGAACAGGAGCACGGGCAACGTCGATGGCCTACACGGCGTCGTGTGGATTCAAAATCGCGCAAAGACACGTACCACCCGGTGTTGGTGATCGCTGGAATGCACTGAAGGACAGACACAAGCAAGAAATACGCGTTCGCGAGCTTGGCGAAGCTCTCAACTGTGAACTTGGGGATGAACGTCCACATGGTATACTTGGACGTGACGACAACGTTCGTGCAAAACGGTCCGTGCGACTCGGTCGGTGTCGGGTTGAGCCATAGCTGGCGAAACATGGACGCCGCGCCGGAACGTTCTGTCGAGCTCGGGACTTTCGGACTCGGCGCGACCTCGCGGTACGCGTCCTCCACGTGCCCCATCGATGGCGCTGCCGTCGTCGCGGCGAAAATGCGCAAGCGACCAGCCAATCACGTCATTTCGAAGTTTCGTGTGTAACTTTGCATGAACGGGGTCGAGGACTCGAGCGCGACCTCCCTCACGAGCTTGCGACGACTCGTCTGGGCATGAGAAAGAGGGGGCCTAGAAAGTCGTCGCATTGGGCTGGCCTCGTCGGTGTCTCATTGTCAGACGTTGGCTTCGTTGCATCGATTCTCAAACGAAACAAATCCACGAATGCTGTGTGTGACAAACAAGATCAAACATAGGCCAAGATGGCTTGGCCAAATGGATCCGGCCGAGAGAATTGCCGCTGGTGCTTCTTTTCGAGAAGACCGTCGTCAGTCTCGACGAGCGCGTCGTGGCGCCACCGCTCCTGGTGCTGCTACACCCACGACACGAGACTGCTCTCCCGAGGCAACGGACGAAACGAGGGAGCTCGAACGGCAGCGCAATGTAGTCCACGAAAACATCTTGTCTCTATGGCGCGTATTTCGCGTGCGCAGCACGTGCACAGCTTGCCCGCTTTTGCGACGTGCAGCATGCTGTGCCCCCACAATTGTGGTTGCACATGGTGTTTGGATATTTGCTGCATGGGAATATTTTTTAAAAATTAATGATATTTGCATCCCGTAAAAAAATTGACTCCACTGGCAAGGGTCCAGACTGGGTCGGTGTTTGAACCACGGGGTGTTTTATACACCATTTTGACCATTTTACTTGCACTTTGTATTGTACGTGTTTTAAACATCCTGGATTATACAGGCAAAGGTGGAGGTCGCGACGACGTTGCTCACATCGAGACACCGCGGGCCGGACGGACGCAGCGATCGACTCGTAGTGATACGATGGGGCAAGGAGATGCACCGACCACCAGCACGATGGCGGGGACCGCGTATCGTGAGATGGCCAAGAGCCCCAAGCCGTCTGAGGCCGCGGCAACGACCCCGAAGAACGAGTTCCGCAACCTGTACATGAACCCGCGCGGGAGCGAGGTCCACGGCCCGTTTTGCTCGAACATTGTCATCACGTCCAAGTACACTGTCTGGTCGTTCTTGCCCAAGTTCACCGTCGAGAGTTTTGCCAAGCTCGCGAACGCGTACTTTCTCGTCGTGTCGGCGTTGCAATGCATTCCCGCGATCACCAACACGGGCGGGTGCGTCCGTTCGCTTGTTGTATCCATGTATTTCTCATTCAAACGTCACATAGCATTCCGTCGTCGCTTCCCGTGCTGCTCTTCATCCTAGCGGTGGACGGGACGCTCGCCATCATAGAAGATCGTCGTCGCCACTTGGCTGATGAAGAAGCAAACTCGGCAAAATGCCATGTCGTGAACCGCTCGACGGGGGCGTTGGACACGATCCTGTGGTCGTCGCTCGAGGTCGGTCAGATCGTCAAGCTGGACAACCGCGGCACCGCCCCGGCGGATCTATTGATCTTGGCCGTTCACGAAGTCGACGCCGACCACAAGGCTGGCATTTGCTACGTTGAAACCAAGTCGCTGGATGGTGAAACAAACTTGAAGCTTCGGTGCGGCCACACTCCTTGTCCATGCATCGTTCGTGATCTTTCACAATCGATTCGACAATCGTGACGCCTCGAACCAAAACTAAATGTTGGCTATGTCGATGCCTAGCCAAGCCATGGAAAGCACGTTGGATGCCCAGACCGAAGCCGAGGTCCTCGCGTTGCACGGCCGCGTCGAGTGCGAAGTCCCGAACAAAGCGATCAGTCGCTTTGCAGGTTCGTTCTTTGTCGATCTACTGGACGGGTCGGTCGCGAACGACCCGATATCGATCAAAAACATCCTGCTGCGCGGGTGCCAACTACGCAACACCGAATGGATGTACGGCCTCGTGCTCAACACGGGCCCCGATACGAAGATCATGCAGTCGTCGGCAAAGCCTGTTGCCAAGTGGAGTTCGATCAACGGACAAGTCAATCGCATGATTCAGTGGCTTCTACTGTTGCTCGTGCTGCTCTGTGCGGCGTCTGCCACGGCCTTTGTCATCTGGGTATGTTCCCGCGCGTCAAGTTGGTTGGTTGGCATGCTTTTTCACCATATTGGTGTCGTGGAAATTTGGATTTTCGGGGGCGAATTCGAGTGTTCATTTAATTGCATGGCACACAACCCGATGATGGGCTTACAAAGAACGCCCGCGGTTCTGACCACGTGTCCTGACTCGCTCCTTGTAGGATGACACGTACAACGCGTACCCGTGTGCAACGACAGAGCCGCCGACGTGCTACATGACGCTGGAAACCAACAGCGCGGCCTACCGCTGGTGTGTGGTGCTCCTAGAATAGACATCACGGACTCATCTGGATTCGGCAGGTTTGTTGGGTTTGGCCAGTACTTTCTCCTCATGTACCAAATCATTCCCGTGTCGCTGTACGTGACGATTTCGACCGTCATGTTTTTGCAAGCGATCTTCATGGCGATGGACTTGGACATGTATTTTGAAGACCTCGATGCCCGCATGATTGTGCGTTCCATGGGGCTCAACGAAGAGCTCGGCCAGATTTCCTACGTTTTCTCCGACAAGACAGGCACGCTTACGTGCAACGTGATGGAGTTCCGCAAGTGCTCGATCAACGGCGTCAGCTACGGCCTCGGCACGACTGAAATCGGTAGAATGGTTGCATGATATCGTCCGAGTCTCACGGTCGTCTTATTTGAAGGTCGCGCTGCGCTCAAACGCAAGGGATTGCCTGTCCCGGAACTGCCCCAGGCGAAGAAAGGAGTCAAAGTCCCTTATGTAAACTTTGACGACCCGAAATTACACCAAAAACTCGCCGACATTCCTGCGCACAGCAGTGCTCACTGGCCGAGAGAAGCTGATTTTTTCCTCCACTTGGCCATTTGCCACACGGTGATCCCAGAGCAAGCGACGGACAAGAACGGCGAGTCTGTCCTCCGGTACTCGGCATCGTCCCCGGATGAACAAGCGCTCGTGTCGGCGGCCAAGTTCTTTGGGTTCGCCTTCGAGTCGCGCGGGCTGGGCGTGGCGCGCATCCGCATCACGAACAAGGCGCTGCAGCATGACCCGAACGCGCCGAGCGAGCTGTGGGAATTCAAGGTGCTGGACGTGCTCGAGTTCAACTCGGACCGGAAGCGCATGAGTTGCGTGGTCCAGGACCCGAGTGGCAACTACATCCTGCTGACCAAGGGCGCGGACAACGTGATCACGCCGTTGCTGTCGTCGACGTTGAACGACTCGGACGTGGTCGCGACGACATTTGAGCAGCTCCAGTCGTTTGCTGACGACGGTCTGCGCACGCTTACGATTGCCAAGAAGACGATTCCGACGGCGTACTACCACCAGTGGACAAAGCGGTACAAGGCTGCTTGTGCGTCGCTGGACCAGATCGAGAAGCGCAAGAACGGCCAGGCAAACGACATTGACGCGTGCATGGTCGAGCTCGAGCAAGACTTGGTGCTGCTTGGGGCGACCGCGATCGAAGACAAGCTGCAGGACAACGTGCCGCGCGCGATCGCTCGGTTGATGGAGGCCGGGATGAAGGTGTGGGTGCTCACGGGGGACAAGCAGGAGACGGCCATCAACATTGCGTACGCGTGCCAGCTCATGGACAACGACATGATGCAGTACATTTTCAACTTGGACGAGTACCCCGACTTGACTGCGCTGCGTGAGAGCCTCGACTTGTGCGTGGCCGACCTGAGCCGTACGTGTCTTGCTGGCGTGGCTGAGAGTTGACGAGATGTTGTCCGCAGACGTGGAAATCACGCGCCGGTCGCTTGTGATTGACGGCGACGCGTTGGAAATGGTGATGGCGGACGCAGACACGTGTGCCATGTTCTTGAAGGTCGCGATGGCGTGCGACTCTGTCGTGTGCTGCCGCGTGTCGCCATCACAAAAGGCCGATGTCGTGGGCCTGGTTCGCACCAACAACCGCAAAGCTCGGTGGGGACACGACGCGCCTCTCTGGGGTTTTGAATGCTCAAACCTGACCTCTAGAACGCTGGCGATTGGGGACGGTGCGAACGACGTGGCCATGATCCAACGGGCACACGTCGGCGTCGGCATTTGCGGCCAAGAAGGCATGCAAGCCGTCAACTCGAGCGACTATGCGATCGCGCAGTTTTACTTTTTGGAAAAGCTGTTGCTCCACCACGGCCGGTTGAACTACGTGCGCATGTCCAAGCTGGTTGGGTACATGTTTTACAAGAACATCATGATGGCGCTGGCGCAGTACTTTTACTTGTACACGACTGGTATGTGCCTCGTCCTCGCCAGCAGAGCGTGACCGTCATGGCTGTAGGTTCGTCGGGGCAAAAAGCGTACTCTGAAATTGCGTTCCAAGCGTACAACTTGGCCTTCACGTCCATGCCGATTGTAGCGTTGGGCGTGTTTGATTTTGATGTGCCATGGGCCGTCGGCCAGCGGTTCCCCGCTCTGTACAAACCTGGCATCACGGGCGCATTGTTCAACACGACCGTGTTCTTCAAGTGGATTGCAGCGGCGATCTTTGAGTCCGCCGTGATCTTCATTGCGACTGTGTACGCGTACAACCAACTGGAACAAGGAGTTGGCAATGGCGACTTGCAGCAGTATGGGATCCTGCTCTTTACCCTGGTCGTGTTTGTGTGCAACTTCAAGGTATGCACCCCACCAGTGTGTTGTTCCGTGTCGAGATGTCGACCTGACATAGATCATCCCCATACAACAATCGTGGATTGTGGTCGGAGGCGTTGTGTGGTGGCTCGGAGTGCTGTCGTACATCCCGCTGTGTTTGTACGTCGAATCCAACTGGTACGCGTTGTCAGCGAGCGACTTTGGCGCCACCGAAAACACTTTGGACGGTACGCAAGTTGTCCCGGACCACTCAGTACGTTGTAACCCCCCATGGGCGCAATTAGGTGGGGTGTTCTGGCTCATCATTCCGCTTGCAAGTGGCATGTGCTTGCTCCGGTACTTCACTTGGGTCGTGTTCCAGCGGCGATTTTACCCGTTCCTGTGGCAAGTCGTGCAGGAAGTACGTGTTGTTTACCACGCCACGATCGATCGCACTCAATTTTGTCGCGTAGAAATATGTATTGGGTGAGTTGGACGTGCAGCAAACCGCTGGGCGCGACATTGAAGCCGACCGTCGCCAACATGACGACACGTACCGCGAAGTCCCTGGCCACTTCCGCAACTCCCGCCATGTACGTCGTCGTCATGTGGTCTCAAACAAGCTCATGTGGGATTGGTTTTCCATTGTAGAGCAATTCGTCGTCGCACTCGGTGTCACGCAAGAACAGCGGGTTCGCTTTCAGCACGGACCCCCGGTCGTCCATGGCCGAGGGCATTATGATCACGAGCACCATGGATTCGCGGGCGTCGGCGATGCGGACGGCCGAGAGCCGCGTCCGTATCACTCGGTTGGAACAGCGATCATCCGACTATGCACTGACCCGCGACGACAAGCAACCGTCAGGCTACTTCATCTAGCGCGTGACGACCTGGAACTCCATCGACTGCATGAATCCATTTTTGTGTGTTTTTCCAATGTGTCGTCCATCGCAAGCTGGAATGTCGACACGCACGGCTGGTGCCAGTATGGCAAAGTCGGGACTCGATCGTGTTGTGGTCGAAACCACTGACATACCTCCGCGACAAGTCCGTCTCGAGACTCACGTGATGGAGTCTCCGGGGCGGGTGGACTTGCCGCGACGACCGTTGTTCGCAGTTCGTACTTGGCCAAGGCACCTAGCTGGAGGAAGCACTGTTTGGGATGCGGGTCGTGGAGCGATACGCCGATGGTACGCGATCGCTGGCCATGACAACCTCCATTCTCCAGCATGGAGCCACACCGCGACGAACTTTTACTACCGCGTGAAGCGCATCCATCCCCAGTTCGAGACGGCTTCAAACACATGATGACCTCATGGCGCGCACTCTGCGCTCATCGGCTTCCAAGGTCTTTGGAATCAGCGGTTCGCGGCCATCGAGTGTTCCAGAGTGCCCGGGCAATGTGAATTAGCTGGCCACCTCAGCACACGGCCAGCACACAGATCACTACATTACACCTAGTCCAATCTAGCCACGTCTCCACCACAGATATCATTGTGGTTTAAGCAAGGATGACGGCAACGACAGCTAGCGCTATCCAGGTAGCTCGAGGCGTCGCACTCGATGACGTTGTCGGGGCTGGCGTGGGTTTGACCGACGACTGGCCCGTCATGGTGGAGGCTGGAGCCACCGTCGGATACGGCCAGTTGGTCGCAGCAAAGTACTCGTTGGCAGGCAGCTGAAACTTGCACGTGGCGCCATATCCGTTGGCAATGTGCACGCACTTGTTGCTGTAATAGTCCGTGATGACGGCGATGGCGGCAGGTTTGTCGCTCGGGAGGAATAGATCCAGGTACGGGAGTATCTCTTGGCCTTTCACACACACGTTGGCGCCGTTGGTGAAGAGCCGCGACGGGTCAAACGTCGAGATGAGGCGGAGGTACGGCACATTCTTGACCCACTGCACAAACGAGTCGAGTGACACGCTGCATCCACTGAACGGCGTGGCATTCCGGAATAACGGAGTCCGCTCCGTACCCGCTGTGTCGGTGAACGGAAGTCCTTCCTGAGCTGCACACCCCTGGTCGTTGGGTGCGACCAAGAAATCAGCGAGGCGCGTGAACAGGTCGACCATATCGACGCTCGAAGGGATCACAGCCATCACCGCAGCCATCCCACACGACTTCTTGACGCCTTTGATGTCTTGCGTCGAGCACATTACGTTTGACACGTGCTTGAGCAAGTTGGACGTAAACAGGTACAGAGAGGGGTCCGAGAAGGAGTCGATCCACGAGGCGCAGCACGGCGATATGGCTTTCAGCACCGTCACGTCCTTGAGAATCTAGCAAGGTAGGTCAAACTGAGCGCCGGAGAAGAACGGATGCCATGAAAACGATAGGGTCTTTGCTACCTTGTTCATAACACATGCTGCGACGGCAGGAATTGTGTTGGTGCATGTGCTGAGCAATTGTGTGTCGTTGAGCTGGCGCAAGTTCGTGGCGAGCGCGACGGCCTGGGCTTGAGTGCGGTTGGCGTGTTGGAAAGGAATGTCCGACATGGGTTTCGTTTGGAGCCACTCTATCGTTTGCTTGCAGTCGTCGTTGGTCGCGATGGACTGCACGAGCTGCGCCCATCCTTCTTGGCCATTGCGAAGGCACGACCCAAACCCAGGTGACATGACGGCCAACGGCGACAGCGCCTTGTATACGCCAGCCAAGGCCGGGTGGATAGATTTCTCAGTGGTGGCGTCCCATGGCAAGCAAGCCGTCGATGTTGGTGTTGCCGCCGCCGTCTGTGCGACGGCGACCGATAGGCCTATGATGCACTTCCAGCGCAGCATGGTGCGTGCGCCTCCTGGATTGAGTAATGGAGTGGCGGCTTGTACATTTGTATGATGTACAATGTACTTCAATAGTTAGTTATTAAGTCAACCCATACTCTGTTCGTATTGTACTGTTTGCGCTTCTCCCAAGTCAGACGAGAATTTCGACCAATTAAAGCGCATCACCTCAAGTTATGGCCAATGGAATGCCGCCATGTGCGATAATTCAACGGGTTCACGATTTTGTCGTCGATTGTCGGTTTCTCTCTTGACGAAACCGGCATGTCCCCTCGCGACAAATGACGACGACGTACTGATCGTCCCGAGTTGAGCACAGCACTCTTCTAGGGGCTACGACCTCGTGTCCCCGCTTCGTAGGGAGGTCCTTTTGTGCGGCGTGCCACACGCGTGGCGATGGACCATCCATGCCGCAGCACGTTGGGACCTGTGCTTGTGACTGATGCCAACCGTTACACGCGTGATGCCATTGCGGCGACAATTGTATGACATTGCTGTGCTGCAAACGACAATCGAATTTGCCTGGGACACCGCTTCCGACGTCGAGTGCTGTGGCAAGAGCAGTGTTAGCCCCTCCCCCGCGCAGCTACGAGTCAATGGGATGCTCTCCGAGCATTTACAAAGCCAAGGGACACCATAAATCCAAAAATACGACGACCTGTCAAGGAAGAGTCGATGGAAGTTGCAACAGGGGGGTTTGGAAAAGCGGCATGAATGCGCGTGATGTGACTCCAGGATCCTTTGCGACTCGTGGGCGATCGACCAGGAACTCTTGCCCGCCCCCCCGCGACCATTTCCACACCATCGATCGCAGAGAGCGGCAATGACGATTGCACAGCTTTACCGAGTCGGTGGACCACAAACCCCTTGCTTGTAAAAAAACACGATGTATATTACTTATGCAACGGTTCACAGCAGTGGTGGTGGAAATGGAGACGTGCCACGAGCGAGAGCGACGAAGAACGACACCGCTATCAAGCGCAGACACAGTGGAGTCTTGCCGCCATTCACCGCTCTGGCCTAGTTACGCCCACACTTTGAGCAGCGTGTCCCAGCTGCCTGTGCACAACGCTTGGCCCGACGGACTCACACCCAAGCACGACACGCGGTTCTCGTGGCCCGTTAGTTGGTACACGTGGGCGCCCGTATTGGACAGCACGTCCCAGCAGTAGCAGTTGTAGTCATCGTACCCGGCAAACATGAACCGGCCCGACTTGGAGTACGACACACTCGTGATACCGCACAGAATCTTGTCGTTCGAGAAGTTGTTGAGTTCGCCGTACGCGCGCAGATCAAAGAGGCGGCAGCTCGAGTCGTCCGACCCGGTTCCGAGGGCATTTCCATCCGGGAAAAAATCGACCGAGTTGATATCGGATTCGTGGCCGTGGAACGAATGCGTCGACTTGCCGGACCGAACGTCCCAAACCTTGGCAGTCGAATCGCAGGATCCCGAAATGAACATGTTTTGGTGATGGGGATTGATCGAGACCGACATGACGTCGCCCGTGTGGTCCTTGAACGTAGTCTTGACCTCGCCAGACTCGACATCTAGTCGACGCAACCCAAATTTAGTGCCATGGACGGCAAGGTGAGTGAGAGAGCCTACCCCAGAGGATACATGTTGAATCACCAGAGCTCGTAATGATGTTGGCTTCGTCCAAGAAGCGGCAGCAACTCAAGTATCCGTCGTGGGCGGCCAACTCCTTTGTTGCGCGCATGACTTGTGCTTGACTACCGTGTGCATGAGACGGCATGTAAGACAAGGAATGAAACGAAGCAACGTACCCCAGCTGGTAGATGGAGCACAAGTTGTCGAGCCCGCCACACGCGACCATGTTGCGCTGCTTTTGCTCATACGCACACGTCATGACCCACGAGCTGCGAAGTGGAATCGCTTGGACTTTGTTGGTCGTCTGCGCGTTCCACACAATGAGCTTGCCATCTTGCGACGCGCTCACGAGCGACGTCGAGTCGCCGCCCCACTGCATCGCGTAGATCTTGCCAAAGTGTCCTTTCAACACGCGGCGGCACTTGGGCGCTGGTGGAATCGCTTTCGTCCCGTCGTTTTCAAACCCACCGTTGCTCTTGGCAGTGCGCACCGACTGAATCTTGTCCTTTAGGCCGTCACACTTCTTCTTGAGCTCCGCTACATCTCCCATGGTGCTTGGCGTCGGTGAGGTCCGAGTGTCCTGTTGGCGGCGGGGCCAAAATAGTTTTGTGTCGGTTGGGCAGAGGGCGTTTCGGATCCTTTCAAAGAATCCCCCCGTACTTAACCGCCTTCCACCAACATACAAAATTCAAGATACAAAGCAAGTGCGGCGCAACCGTTTCGTACTTTAGAGGGTCTCGCCAGGCGCCGCGTGTTTCGAACACGGTTTCGAACACTTGTTTCGAACAACGTTGAAGGGGAACGTGCAGGAACAAGACGTTTGCCATCCCCTGCGACCGTTCAGCGAGGCGGCGGGAGTTACCGTCGCGAAACCACCGTCGCCGCGTGTATTTTCGGCGAGGCCGCTCGCCACACAACACCACAGCGCCCGAGACGCATGCTTTACTTGTTCGATTACACGACGACAAACCCGAGGACATACGCCTTGACCTTGGCCACGCGGTCTTCGATGAACTCTAAATGGGCTTTGAATTCTTTCCACTCGATCGTTTTGCTGTTGTTCACGTCGACACAGTCCATAATTTCCTTTGCGAGTGACGCCAGCATGTCGTCTATGATCGCCCACTTCTTCTCCCCAACCTGCGGCCACCGCGACATGAGATAGCGTCGCACGAAAACACGGAATTAGAGAACTTTGTTGGCTTTGGGAATGGCCGCATGCACGGACCGCGTCACGACTGTTTTGAGACCGGCGCTGAAATCTACGGGTTGGTAGCATAGCATTAGGGATAGCATGGTATGTGTGTTTGCGCTGGGACAATCCGGTATACCGGCAACGTGAATTGAGCCATTCCCGTCACGATCGCATTGCTCAAAGAGGTATCGCAGCTGCGCGTTGAACGCCAGCGATCCTGTGGATTGGTCGATGCCTATGGCAAACCAATCGATTTTCCTCTACAAGTCGGAAGGTCGGTACATGGCACACGTACCAGATGCATAGTGGACCCATTCCATGCAGCTCAGTTGGCCGTTTTCGTCGTCATCGAGGGACAAGAGCATGCCTTTTGTTTGGAGCTCCGTTGGTTCCTTTTTGCGCATCAACCACAGCAAAATCTACGTAAATACATCGCAACCATCACAAGTCCAACGGGGATCAATCATCTACGCTGTCGTACACGCAGCTCTTGCACGTCCACAGTCATCGAGTGGTCGTCGTCGGCGGCAAAGAACGCCAGTGCCGGCGACATGACCGACAAGAAGTTGGGCAAGGCAATCACCGAGTGTCCGGAATCTTCGTCCGCTTCGACCATCCTATGCACGGATGGTGTAGACAATGGCGAGAAGGGAGTGGTTGCATTGGGACATAGCCTCACTGGGTCATGTAACCAATGAGTTCATCCACGTGGTTCGGCTTGAGATTGGGCAGCTTGAGGGCTGAGACGACTGATCGAACTACGGATTGATATCGCAAGGCTGAACGTCTCTGGTTGAAGCGTACCTTGAACCAGCGTGCACGCAGGATAGCTCACCGTGCCTTCCGCAGCGTTGCCGACCGACGCTTTATCTGGAGACAAAGATTATGACAGAATGTAGCCGACACAGGAGATCGTACGGCGGACAGCAGCCGCGGCCAAGAAGAGATCGATGGCGAGTTTTAGCTGTCTGTCGTACAAGAGCATGGCATCGGCAATCAAGCGCGTGCTGGCGAATTTCTGCGCATCCACGTGAGTGTCGAGCACCGACAGACGACTTCATTCACTTTGAGGTACAAGATGACGCTATGTTCGTGATGAAGCCAAAACGAAAACTCGCTGAGTGAAATGCGCCGATTGCGGTTTGTGTCGATCTTGGCGAACGCTTCGTTGGCCAAGCATTCGAGTTCCAGGTTGTCGGGTCGCTCCAACCTAACAAAACTCACGCGATCAAGCATCGGCACTTGTCCCAATCCATCAAGAAAGCGCCCACGCACCCGACCACGCGGCACAAGCCGCGCGTACAACAGATCATGAGCATAACAAGCTCGGTATGCGAGATGTAGCACGTCTTGTCAAAATCAAATCTGGCCATCACTGTCAGACACGTGTAGTCCAAACAACGTTGGAGATGTAGTTGCGGCAGTCGTACGCACAAGGAAAACAATGCTTGGATCTTGGGCTCGATCAAGTCTTTTGAAAACACAATGAGGACTGCGAATACTTCGAGCACGTCGACGCGCCCGACCCCACGCACATCAAATTCCTGCGCAACACCGCGGTGACATCAGTAATGTACGTGGTTGTCGTTCATTGCAGTGTACTTGAAAGTGAGCTACAGTGTCGCTGCACACGACGGAAAAGAGCTGATCAAACTGGTCCTGAGTCACGGCCATGAAGTCGCCATATTCGCGCTGCATGTCTTCATAGTCTTGGATGACTTGGCGGACCTCGCGTAATTGCACTACGCCGATCATGTCGCTCGGGTTGAACACGCCAAAGATGACACCTCACGGACACCAACCTTGGCGATACTCCTGCACAGCCAACTAGATGAGACGACCCCTTGACGGGACAACAGATAGGTTCCATACCTTTAGAATCGGCGACGCTGATGTGAACTTGGCTTCGACGCTCAGCTTTGGGCCCATGATGCTGTCGTCGGCAGCTACAATGGCTCCTCCACGCAACTCTCCCCCTTGATAACTCGTAACCGTGCTCTGACCTGAAACAGTTGAATCGATCGGTTAGACACGGCCACGGCGATGTGCACACGCGATGGAGCGCCATGGTTCACATCCGTGAACGACTCGAGACTACCCAAACCTTGTCGCGACTGCCTCGATGAAGTGTGTTTCGCGTTGAACGTGTCGTTGTCTGCAGTGCGTTTGTGGTGGACGTTTGAGTGTTTAGTCAGTGTACTGCCGACGATTCCACTTGGTTCGATTGCTCAATGCACCATCAACGATTCCATTTGGTTTGAGCGCCCCCATCTCGCTACGACGTCTGCACCATTCGTTCTTCGCTGCGGTGATCTCCATCTTCTGGGAAACCAAGGCGCCTTGACTCGATCGATTTCTTGTTGGGAGTCCAGATAACGCCGACCCATTCTTCTTGGAAGTAGAATGGTTGAATGCTTGAGTGGTAGTCCGTTTTGTACGTACGACGACACATCCTCAGCCTTTCTCGTGGCAAGTGGAGCGTTGACGATGTTTGTGAAGCCATTCTACTGCCCATTCTGTCGACAAGTGGGGTGTGCTGTAAACCTGACATCCGTCCCAGGTCTTGAAAGCCCTGACGTCACGCACTGCGCGCTGGCGCACGACTATCGTTGCTGCCATGTTAGCGTGGAAACAGCCCTCCAAGGTGAACTCACGCGACAACGCAAGTCAACGTCGGACTGCCCACTATGTATTAGAAGGATCTTTCCTGGAGAACTAGTCCACGTTGTGCATGACACATGTCTCGAACAAATGGGGAAAGTTGGCCACTCGCTATATCGTGGTGAGACGGGTGAGCCCGAAAGCGCTCGACCGGGAGCCTGTATCACTGCCATTCGGACGCCATCGGGAGACAATACTCGACTCGTTCGCGGTGGAGCCCTCGCGACGTTGGTTTGGGGGTGCAAAAGAGTCGCCACGTCTTGACGTCGACCATGTACAAATGCTGTCGAAACTCAAACGCCACGAGGCCGTTGAGAAGTGCGCTGGCCTTATCCAAGTACAGCACGTCATGGACGCGCCACCTGTCGAGGGCAAAGACTTGGGCTGCGAGCGAGTACAGAAACAGCGTTTGCGACTTGTGCAGGTCTGGGGCGGTGTCCGGGACTTTGTATTTTAAGTAGAGCACACTCAGACCAAAACACGACGAGATGCACAGCAGCTCCATCGCGATCACAGCCCCGAATCGATGGACGCTCCCGACGGCGACTCGCCCGACTGTGCACACTTGATACAAGTCAAACTCGTACGGAACGCATGTTGGTTCAAGCGTGATGCTAATGTGCATGGGAGCCACGACCTGAATCATCGCCATGACTGCCCACACCACGAGGTAGCTCTTGCTCGCATACGCGCGGGTGTAATGCGTCGTCCAGATCGACCCAATGTCGTGTATGATATATGTCGACCAGCACACTTCGCCCGACACGACGATCGATTGCACCATGTACTTCCAGCCTGTCGTCGAGGGGCACTCAAACTTAGCACTCAAACCAGACGCGGACGGGAGCAACTGCATTTGGCCCGTGCTAAGTAGACACAGCGCGGACACAGCTCGGAGGAGCAAGAGAGGTCTGCCGACCCACACAAGTGCCCCGACGCGGTTCAACTTGAGCAAGTTCCACGGCTCCACATGACCTCGATTGGTGACGATATATACAAGCAGCGTCCCGGCTACCGCGACAAGGGCGAGGGTGACGTATTGTACCCCCCGCATGCAAAACAGTGCCAAACTCTGGGGAATTTCCAGCGCGTTCAAGGCATATGTGTCAACTTTGACGGCCGTCGACATCACGGACAAAACATATCCCGAGTCGCCTTCGAGCGCGATGACTTCGCGCTGGCCCACATACCACAAGTGCATGTAGCACCACATCCAAAATTGCCACCCAAAGTCGCCGTCGTCCAAGGCAAATACGTTCTTTAGGGCCACGACGGGCTCGCCCGCTTGGATGGCAAACTGGAACAAACTCACATTGAGTGCCTGAGCAAGTGGTCCCACTTGGCGGGCTTCATCGCGCATGAGGTCCCACACCTCGGGCAGAAAAGATTGGAGAAATTCTGTCGTGTGGGCGAGAACGCTGAAGCAGTCTTCTGGCTGCAAAGTATGCAAGCACGTCACATTTGCATCTCGGGGAAGGATTTCCCCCGCCGCGATGTTTGCAATAAGCGCGTCCCACGGCGTCACATACATGGCTTCTTCGACCATCGCCAACGCACAAGGACCAGTCGTGTCCCAGTACGGGTACGGAGAGTTCATTTCGACCATCGCGTTCGGGCAAAGGGGAGAGCCCCCGATGTACGTGAGACTGCTGTTTTGCCACGCGAGCGGGACTACTGTTTGGTACCACCCGGCGGGGAGCTTGGAATGCGCCACTGACGCGGAAGCGTTGACGAACAGGGTTGCTTGGACGTATTTTTCAATGCGCCGGAAAAACACCGCCACAGCCGTAGGTGGCGCGACGTACGAAATGTCGACCGACCCATACGGTCCAACATGGTGTTGAAACAATCCCATGACGTTGGTAGGGACCGACGCCAAGAGCCCGTACGCCGATTGGAAGACAGTCGTGATGGAAGAGTTCATGAAAGCAAAGTTGGCACTCTGTCGGATCAATGATTGCCCGCCGTGGCCGTCCGTGGTGTTGGCCCATGTTGCAACGTGCACGAGATCGTTGGCCAGCGTCCAGTACATCCGCAATGACGTCGAGTCCGCGACGCGCCACGATCCGTTGCGCGACTGAAACGTGAGCGGATATGTTGCACCAAACGCATTCTCCACCACGATCGAATTGACGATTCCAGCGAGTTTATAATTTTGCCATTGAACCACGTACGTCGAAATATGATGCGATTGCCAATACGCCACTTCGTTCTCGACGGACAAGTGGGGTTCTTTCAAGGCCGACATCAGCCACTCCACCCCCATGGCGCTTTGGCGTAGTTCACGACCAATTCCAATGTCAAAGGCTTGTCCCCAACACGCAAAGAAGTCGTGGCTATGAATGTTTCGAACAAGCGGTTCCAGGTATGCAGCCGCATTTTCACGTTGACGCAAGTCGCACCGTCGTTGCCGCGCTGCCGAGTTGGCCATGTCCCACTGGCGACCAAAGTCGACCCAGCAATACTGCGCCGCGACCCACGGCGCGATGCATCCTGAAAGTTGGCGGAAGCCTATGGTGTCGCTTTCGTTAGACGTGCGCTAGAACTGGACACACGCACCCTGAACGACGTTGGGCAGATGCCGCAGGGCCAAGTGCTTGTACAAGGTGGCTTGACTCGCATAAATCGGCACGTTGTTACTCGGGCCACTGAAGTCTCCAACCAGTGCATTCTCGACGTTGTCCAGGTGAAACGTGCTGTTGGGCTCCTGTTCACGTTGTAGCAACTTGGCTAGGAAGTGATGACCGCCGGTCGTGTTAAAGTTGGCCCACCAAAAGTCGTTGGACATTTTGTCTGTGAGAACGGACAAGTACAACCAGCTGCCCCCGAGGGTCGCAAGGACATACAAAAAGCCCATCACGACAAGCTGAACAGGCGCTCGGGTCGAGGTGGACTGAGCGGGAACTGGCGTGGTCACGGACAGTCGTGTTTGGGGCGGTTTTAGCTTCAACGAGCAATATGTTCCCCGTCGTGCAATGGCTTGCGTGCGGAGACGCAAGCACTGCCATGACTTGATGTCAAGGACCACGGATAACTTGGCGCTCAGCCGGAGGACGAGGATGCCGCACATAAAGTTGGACGCTTGATCGAGCCACACTTCGCCCATGGGCAGGTTGTGAATGTTGTGCAGGTCGAAGTAGGCCAAGGCGGCACCCGTGTACCACACGTGGGCATGTGGAATCGACTTAGTGAAGCGTGATTTGGCAGAGTAAACGACAGAGGCTGAGAAAATGACCGCGGCAAAGCTGCCGCTCAACATCCATATCACTCGCGCAACGTCCCCGTGGAGGACAGTATTTCGTGTGCACACGAGGCCGGCATGGACTCCAACATAGCGGCAGTCCTGCGTCGGGATAACCATCGGAACAATCGGTTCGGTGAGCTCAAGCACCAACGCCAATGCAAAGACCGCCGCACTGCTCAGTGGCGCAGCCAGCCAGGATTGGTGTTTCAGAAGGACGACGTCTGCAGCTACGTACGCAACCCACGTCACTTCACCGGCCAGCAGCATGGATTCCACCACGGTTCGGTGACGGATGCTCAGTTTCGTCAGTCCGTGCTGTGTCTGGAGCTCCGTACGTGCCGAACTCAGCACCAAGAGCGCAGTGTACCCTCGGAGAAACAGGAGTGGCCGACCTACCCAGGTCAGCCCCCCGACTCGATGAAAGTACCACAAGTTGTGCGATGAGATTTCGAGGCGGTTGACGACTGCGATGCCCACCACGTACACAACGACGAGAGTTTGTACGATGCTGATGTATCCGACACCGCAACTCAAGAGAAGCGCAATGCTGCGGGGGATCTCTCCTTGAATGGGCGGCATGTCCACGGACAACTCGTATTGGTGGGACATGAGGTGGTATGCCCCAACGTCGCCCTCAAAGAGCACCACCTCGCGCTTTCCTTCAACCCAGTCGAAGAGGTAACTCCACCCCAAAAACGTAAATACAGGGTCGTTCTCGTCCACAAGTGTCTGCCGCAGGAGGTGGGGCTCTTTTGTTGAGGTGTTCGCAACGGAAGCCACCGCGATTTGAACAAGTTCAATCGTCGAAATGCTCGTTTTCGCCTCGCGCACCAATGTATTCCATCGAGGGTGGCCCATTGTGTCCGCGACCTGGCGCGCCCTGGACATGCCGGCAAAACAAGCTGTCTTGTCACGAGCGCTGGAGCAAATTGCACTCGCCTCGACCGGCGACGTCGAAATCGATGCCAGCACTGCAAAGAGTAGGCTGTGTCGATTGAGCGGCACTCGAAGGGGGACTTGCACTTCGCACGTATCGTCGAACCACCACTCTTGCAACGGAAACGGCGTCGTCTGCGAGTACGACGGACAGAGCGGATTGCCTGTCAGGAATTCCACCGACGACTCCTGCCACGACCGGATTGGCGGCGAATGGACGACAAACGAATCAATGAGCTGGAAGATGGCGCTGACTGCCTCATCTCGCCATCGAGTCTCATGCAAGACACTGATGTACATGCGGTACAGGCGCCTCAATGACAGCGGTACTGCGGTGATGTACAAGTCCACCGTGTAGAGAGGCCCGAGGGTGCTGTACAAGAGATTCGTGCCAACGTCATAGCCGCTCAATGGAAATTCATCCCAAAGGCACGATGGGTCGCTGCGAATGATGCTGCGGTTGTACACTGACGCTGTTGTCATGTCGTCAAACACTGGAAGGCTCATGAGCCATGTCGTCCATTGCGCCGTTCGAGCGAACTTTGGGAAAATGGCCGTTGACATTGTGTTGTAGAGTCCAGTCGCTGGAGATATCGTCATAAAGTTGGATAGTCCGACTTGCATAAAGTTCTGGAGCTGCGGGATCCACTGCGTGATGTTATGTGTTGCCCAGTACGCTGCTTCGTCTTGCACCGCTAGCTTGTCCAACGAAGTCAAGTCGGCCAGGAACGCCCGACCGGCGGCCGATTGCTGCAAAGTTTGCCCGACTGCAGCAGTGAAGATCCCGTTTGGGCCACCCATGGTGTCAAGGAACACGTTCATGTTGGTGTTGCGAAGGATCGCCTCCAAGTACACAGCACCATTGTTTGCGTACTTGCGTCGGCAGCGGAGTTGGCGTTTAAGCGTATGGCTGACTTCCCACGTGTGTGCAAAATCGATCCAGCAATACTGGGTGCTGATCCACAAGAGGTCCCGCGGGCTCGTTTGTCGGCATGACGCGATGGCCAGCGCAGGTTCCAGCACTTTGGTATACAGGAGTCTCCGTGGGTACGTTGGCCAGAGGCGGACAGCGTGCGGCGTCTCGAATTCGTCGACGGCAAATGAGAGGGACGTCAAGTCGATGCTGAGGACATCAATGTCATCTGCGACGAGATCAACTACGTTCATCGCTTCCATCAACCATCCCTGAACAGATTCGTCGAGCTCACACCACAGCGCATCGTTTTGAGCAAACTCGAGCAACATCACCACGTACAACCACGACCATATGACGCTCGCAACGAGATAAAGGAGACTCAACGTAGCCATGCAATAGTGCCGCCTGGAGTACGTTGGACGAGCGGCAGCGATCAAGTGCGCCGGCGGCGACGGCCGCACAGCATGCATCGCCGATCGGAAGGTCTCCGATCTCTGTAACGACCAAGTAACGATGTGAACGGGCGGGTTCATTCCTTGGCCACATTTTATTGATACGAACAGCCTAGCCAACTACGCTGACTGCTCTGGCGGTAAGACGAGGGCACGCTTAAAGCGGGGGTGCTGGGACATGGGCATGGTGAACACTCGCCACGTCTTGATGTCCAGGACGTAGAACTTGAAGCCCTTAAGCGGCACCATAATGAGACCGTTGAGGAAGGCGCTGGCCGCATCCAAGTACACATGGCCGTCAGAGTCGGTCCAGTTCACAAACGGGAACGTGTACACTGACAAAGAGTACAGAAGCAGAGACGGGATTCTTGAGGGGGGGAGTTTGGGTCGACGATACTTCTCAACAGCGTAGCAGACCGCAGTACTTCCGAGCGACAGGTACAAAAGGTGGGCAAACCTGGAGCTGTTGCCGATCGCAATCATGCCGGATGAACACACCATCTGCAAATCAAAGTTCACGGTGCGACATTGCCGCTGCAGCGTAGCGGAGACGTTCGGCGGCGACACAACCTGCAAAATGGACGCGACAAGCCACAGGAGGAGGGAGCTGCGCCATGCATACCCCTTTGTGTTTTCTTTCGTCCACACGGTCAGCATGTCATTCAGAACGTATGTGAGCCAGCATACTTCGCCCGATATCAAACACGTTTCCAAGACGGAAAAGGCTGTCGTGGGCGGTGGGGAGCTGAACTTGGTCCGTCGCGTCGTCGGCATGACTTCAAGTTCCAGCGACCCCGTGCTGAGCAATGCAATGGCAGAAGTCGCTCGAAGAAAGAGGAGTGGTCGCCCGACCCAGACGATGCCACCGACACGATTTATCTTGAACAAGTTCCACGGCTCGACGTTCCCCCAACTGACCACGACTGTTGCGATGACAACGACCGACGCCACCATCATCAACATTATCGTCACGTACTGGACGCCACGCATAAAGTACAAGGACAAACTGTGCGGGATCTCAGCGGGATTGAGTGTGCATGCTGAGCTCTTGACGACGGCAGTGAGCAACGTGACAGACGCAATGTCCCCTGTCAAGCACACGACTTCACGTTGGCCGACAGCCCACTGATGGAGGTAGCTCCAGCCCCAAAACCCTCCGGCAATGGTCATATCAAACGCATTGGCTGTCGTGATGACGTGACGTCCCTGGTGTAACCCATATTGAAACAGGTTCACGTCTAGCTGGTGCAGTGTCTTGGCAACGGTCAACGCTGACTGACTGGACAAGGATTGACTCAAGTACTTCATCGCATACGGCCAAGCTGTCGTCATGACCCGTCTGCAGTTGCTTTGCTCGGTCGCTTGATCACACATGCCACTGGGAGATATCGTGGAGTTGATGGTCCGCGCCGCAGCAATCGCAAAAAACACTTCTCCGGGGGGTACATACGACCCTTCTCGGACTGCAATTTGCGAGCAGGGCGACAACAGGTCAAGGTAGGCAAAGGCGAACTTTTCCATCGCGGGCCCTATTGTGGTGCAAAGCGGGTTGCCTCCCCCAAACGAGAAATTGTTGTCTGGGGTCCATTGTGGTGGAAGGTATGCCATGTACGTGCGGGCGGGAATTAGGGCAAAGTCGTCGGTGGCGTTTTGGTTGGCGTAGAGCAATTTGGACAGGTACAGGTGAAACTCGCCGAGGAAGGACGCGGCGGTCGCTGGCATCGCGATGTATTTCATGTCGATAGACCCAAACGGCCCAAACGTGTCTTGAAATAACTGGGCAGACCATACCAACGGCACGATGAGTGTCGAGTTGTGCACCAACACATTTGTCATGGACGTGTTGGCAAAGGCATACCGGGAGCTTGACCGCACCAACGACCGTCCTGATATCACCGAAGATTGGTTGGTGGCTTGGCCAACGGCCCATAGGTCGCTGCCCCACATCCAGTACATTTTAAACGTTGTCTGCGCTTCAAACCGCCACGTCCCGTTCGATTGTTTAAGAGTCAGCGGGTACGATACCCCGAATGCGTTGACGGCGTCGATGGTTTCCAATATCCCCGACACCTTGTAGTTTTGCCATTGCGTGTGAAATGAGTCGAGGCCGTGACTGCGCCACGTGCTGACTTCGTCAACTTCACTCGACAAAGTCACGCTGAGCGTTGCGAATAGCCACGACCGACCCGCTTGAGAGACCTCCAACTCGTTGGCAATCGCCACTTGAAACGAGTGACCCCAACACGCCAAGAATTCGGACCTTGGAACATTGCGCAAGATTGATTCCAAAAAGACAGCGGCATTTCGCGAGTCGTGGCGCTCACACCGACGTTGGCGTTGTAGGGTGTTGGCCAATTCCCACTCCTTTTCAAAATCAACCCAACAATACTGCGTGGCAATCCACGGAGCATGGCACCCGTCCATGTTGCGCAAAGCTAGTCAAGCAATAGAATAGCAAAGAGGAAGGCAACAAGAACGACTTTGTCGCACCTGTAATAACTGCGAGAAGGTCCTGGAACACGTGATAGGTGGTTGCGTGAGCGTAGGCAGGCGAGAAGGCAATCTCATTGTTGGTGCTGATGTTGTAGAACCCGCGGAGACTGTACATGGCTTGGTCCAATTCCAATACTGTGCGAACGGACGGCTGGGACCACACTGTTGGCAGGTTGTTCGCCAACACGGCCAAGTAATAATGGACCCCCGTCGAGTTGAAGCCTCGCCACCATGCGTCGTTGGACAGACGACCTTGCAGGACGCCGAGATACATCACGCTACTAACCAAGGTGACACCGACATACAATAACGCGGCCACGACAAACAAGAATTGCTTTGCGGACACAGTTGTCGCGACATTGCTTTGACTGGGTTGACGAGTCGACTGCGCCGTGTTGGTGGCTGCCTTTGTGGACTCCAATGGAACAAGTTTAGCGACAGCGACTTGCCTTGGCTTCGATGAAGAGAGATCGACAAAGAGCCACGATGTTACAGAAAAAACGTAATGCTTGTGCCACGTCAGAGCTCCACGAGATATCTTGGGGACAGGCAAGATTCCACACATGATTTGCGACCCGTGGTCTAACCAACTGCGTCCGCCATCGTTGTACTTAAGAGCGAAAAAGGCTGTCGACGCCCTAGGGTACAACACGTGGCTGTCTTGCTGAGGCCGGAATCGCCAGTGGCAAAGTAACCTGGAGTAACTCGACGCAGTACACACGAGCCAGCTTCCAATCGTGGCGCAAACTATAGCCAGCGTGCGTTCAAAGCTACCGCTGTATATCGCGGCACTTTGACAGAACACGTTGGCGTCCAAGTCAATGATTTGACACGTCCGATTGTTTGTGTTGACCGTCAAGTCCAGAGGATACATGACGTCCAGCACCAAGACTGCGATAAACGACATGAGAGCACTCACAGGTGCAGTCCACGTTGAATACGTTTCCGCCACGAGCAACCCGACGTCCGACATGATGTACGACAGCCACGTGACTTCGCTCGCGACGAGGAGCGACTGCCACGTTGATCGAGGGACGTGCTCCAGCCATGTCACGCCATGCCTCGACGTCAGTCCTGTGGTGGAAGAACTGACCAAAGCGATAGCTGTGACACCGCGCAGGAGCAATAGGGGCCGACCGACCCACGTGAAACTGGCCACCCGATGAAACTGAAGCATGTTGCGACTCGAGTCGTGGACCCCCGCCGCGAGGACGACAAAAAGCAGGACCGCAGCCACGATGGTCAGGACAAAGCTGACGTACCACACACCGTACATGAGCAACCCGCCGACGTTGCGTGGCAACTGATCAAGGTTCGGCTGGAGTTTGAAGTTGGTCGTGTATTGATACGACAGTAAATTGAGCGATGCCTCATCGCCGTCATAGAAGACGACTTCGCGCGTGAACGTTACCCAGTTGAACAAGTAATTCCACCCCAGAAACGTTATCAACGGGTCGGTGGCGTCCAGGACAACTTGGCGCAAGAGCACAGGCTGTCCCGATTCCACCACGGACGCAAATTGAATGATCTCGACCGAAAGCGCTTGAATGGCGCTTTCGACTTGGGCCACCAACGACGTCGCTGCCTCTTCCTCTTTGAAGCGAGGAAGGAACACATCAACGAGCGCGTGTGCGTTGGTCAACGTGGATTCACAAGCAAGAGCGTCGTCGCTCCACAGACAAATGTTGGACAGTCGCGAGGCTTGAACGAATTGCATGGACGAGAGAGAGGTCATCGCGACGGCAAAGAGGACGCTATGGCGCGTCAAGACACTTTCCAGTGGGGTTGGTGATTCGCAGAGATCATCGAAGCCCCATTCTTGCTGCAAGAACGGAGTGGTCATGTTAAACGTACACAGCGGACTTCCGCCAAGAAACACCAACGAGTCATTTTTCCACGCCTGAATCGACGGAATCACGCGAATGCTGGGGGCCATTTCCAGCCACATGGTTTGCAGCGCGTTTGATCCATCCCCCAACGTTACCGTCGAGTACGCTTGCGACCGAAACCTCCGGTAGAGCGCCACCAACGGCGAAGGCAGTGGAACCAAATACAAGTCGATCGAGTTGAGTGGTCCCAAGAGCTCATGTATCGCGTCTTGAAGGAGGCCACCCATGTACACGTTGGACTCGATGCCTTCTGCCCCAAAGTATTCGTCCGATCGAATCAAGCTGAAGTTTCCTGCTTGGGCAGCATACAAATCGTTGAAAAATTCAGCGTACATGTTGAACGTCGTCCATTGAAATGCCATCATGCTGTACGGAATCACGTTCACCGACATGTTGTACACATAGCCCAAGGCCGAATTGATGGACACTGTGTCGGAGCTTCCGGTTTGTTTCCAGTTCATGTACTGGAGCTTCCACTCCGTGGCGTTTTGGTTCCGCCAGTAAGATGCTTCGTCGGGCACGGTCAGCCACGGCTCCACCACGAGGCGCTCCATGAACGACCGACCTGCCACAGACTTGTTCAACGCGCGATGGATGGCAACCGTAAATTCGCCGTCTGGACCACCGAGGGCCGCCATAAAGTGCTTCATGTCGGTGTTGCGCAACATTGCTTCCAAGTACATGGCCGCGTTGCGCGTGTATCGGTTGACGCATCGTTGTTGGCGCCGAGACGTGTGCCCGAGCTCCCACGCCTTGGCAAAATCGACCCAGCAGTACTGCGTCGGCACCCACACGAGGTTGACGGCTTGCATTGACCGCATCGATTCAATGTGCGACTCGAGGTCGGTGAGAAGAGTGTACAACAAATGCCGAGGGTATGACCTTTGGCACTCGACCAGCAGGGTCGTGTCGGCACCGTACGGTCGATCTTGGGCAAACATGGGCGACGTCAAACTGATTAGCGTCGGCGCGCTCGACATGGAGTGCAGCGCGTTGATGGCGTCCATGAGGAATGCTTGAACTGACGCATTGTAATGAAACCAGAAGAAATCGTTGGCGGTCGATGGGACAAGGACGTGGTTGTAAGCTATCGCCAATGCCAAGGAAGCACCGAGGTAGATCGCAAACACAATGCACTCGACCCAGCGTCGAACTAACGACGGGGGCTCGTCTCCACGATGTCCTCGTGCGACGGCTCCAGGTGCTGGAGCGACGGACGATAGCATCGTGTATTGTGTTGCATCGAGGGGTGGAGGACTGTCGTAACCGAAGCCAATTGCAAAACCACCAACGTCCACGATGAAACCCCGGGAATACTCGATCGATCTCCTTGCGCTGCGCGCCAATGGCCGAGATAGCACTGAAGTACGCTAGCATGAAGGCCGTACCGATGCATCCATGCGCAATCAACACAATCAAGTTGGCCGGCGAGTTGGCCGACCTGATCGACCTTGCAAAGTGTGCAGTTTGTGAAGAATCACATAAACTGTATTGCTCAGAAAGTTGTTGGCTTTGCTGGCTGCTGCGGAAATCGCACAATCTTGCGTGTGGCTCCTGCACCCATAATGCTGCTTTGACACGACTGACATAGATCCGAGGACGGAACTCCCAACAGCGATGGAGCCACCGTGTTGGTTTTGCACGCAACGAAACCGATTCGTCCCCCCAAGTTGGAGCACGATGGCCGCCCATCGTCGACCGGATTCCCACCGTCCCTGCATGGAAAACGTCAAGGTGGGGGCCGGCGCGGGGGTCGATGGTGTTGTCGTTTTGGTACATCCACGCACTGGCCCCGCCCATGGCCAACACTTTATCGTCACGTTCGATGACGATTCGACGTCGCCGACTCCGGCGATTTGGGAGAGCAAGACCCAGCGCGCCTTCCAGCAAATCTCTTGTTGTACTTGAATTCGAAACACCGACACGAAGGCGCTCTCGGCGACGGTTGGCGGCGGTTTCGACAGGTCAAGGAGATCCAACGTGCAGTCGACGCGGCTCGTCCGACTCGACAAAGTGTCCAGGCTTGACCAACTCTTGGACGCGCGCTGCCGTAATCGTGGAATGCCCAAACGAATGTCCGAGCGTGGAATCGCTCGGTACGGAAGGAGCAGTCCCCTGTGCGCGTTCGACAGCTCGAGAGTGTGTGTTCCTAGTAAGAGTGGGGGTTGACAACATGCGCAATGCGCCGATCCCAATGGCGATACCAGTGCGGCCACTCAGTGTCCGCGCCACATTAACCAAGGAGATAGCCTTGGACCACTATCAAACCAACTCGTGCACGAACGCGCCGTCGGCCACGCAATGGTGGCACCTGTGGAACCAAGATGTTGACATCCCACGCGATAGACATTTGA